ATTGCTGTCTCCTCTGTTCTGGACATTCTTCTGAATTCTCAAGGAAATGTTTACCCTGTAATTCTCCAGGCTCATCTTAGGTTCACCTGGTCATTTCAGAAGATGTGTCCACTAAGTAACCCACATCTCCTTTTGCACTCATATACAGACAACATTAATAATTAAGCCACTTGGGAAGTTAATTGCATGGCCTGTGTCTGACTTCCCTTAAATTCTCCACCATCTAAAGCTCAACATGGAAATCTCTGGGATCATTACTCCACATCTCCATCTTGGACTGCATCACTGCAACCTACTCTATAAATCAGCAAGCATCAGGACATTAATTACTCCATGATATAAGGCAATATAATGCTGCCATTATTGCAGCTGGACCAGCAAATAAGGGCTTACCTGAAGAAAATACTGTTTTTCTGCAGGTGAACTAGATATAATGGTCAGTCACTGTCTGTTGGCACATTAACTTTAGTCTACTGCACAACATTTACAATTAAGCCACCTGAGAAGTCTGGGGGTTGATGTAACAGAAAGACTATGGATCCAATTTAGATAAAACTCTCAGCAAATCTCAAAATTCTAGGTGAGCCAAAGATGGCTAAGTCAGACAAGACCACTTCTGCCATATTGACTACAAGAAATTTGCCAAATAATGATGGACAGAATGAGGGGCTATTGGGTACAGTTCATATGTATTTATTACACATGTGAATTGTACATAGCTTGTTTCACTCCTACTCCCTCACCTTTTGCATGTTGCTTGTCTTCTTCAGATGAAAGCTTTGTAGGGCAGGGATTGTCTCTCTCCCTGTGTGTGTTAATGATGCCTGGCAGATTGAGGGCTCTGATGGAGTATAAAGTAATAATAATAGTGATATTCCTGCTTCTGGAATATTGGAAGGGAAAGAGTATGTCTAGTGATTAGAGCAGGGGCCTTGGAATCAGGGCTTCTGGCTCTGTACTGAGTAGCTGCATGACATTGGGCAAGTTAACCTTTCTATGCCACAATTTACTTATCTAAAAATGGATATAATAAAGGATGGTTTCTTGCCTAAGTGTTCATTTGATGGAAAAACATCAACATATACAGAGCCCACCAATGGGCTGTATATGTTGATGTTTTTCCATTGTTGGTGTGGAAACAGGGAATGAAGCCAGGCAATAGGAGATTGAATGAAAGAGTTATAAAATTCTTGCTGAAAATGAAAAATAGGGTTAGCAATGATGCAATGAAGATCATGTGATCTTATCCGGGAATAACCTAAAAGTGACCTTTGTAACATAATGGATGCCTAGTGGGATGCGGAGGCTGGAATTAAAGAGAATTATCACAGCTGGAGCTGTTACCAGAGGAGAAGAGTGCATAACAATTCTGGGAAGAAATCAGAGACCACATAAATACAATATTAAATTATTGGTGTATTATTATTTATAGTTATTATTATTAATATAGCACCAAACATGTTCTTGGCACTTTGCACCAAATGATCCAGAATCTGAATTGTACATGATGTTGGGACATAATAACTTTGACAAAATTACAGAAGAAGTTGCTACTGAGAGCATCCATAGCTAAATGTATTATTTCAAGGACTATGGGTCTGATTTTGCACTCACATTCATTTTACCATAGTGTAACTTACTGTCATCACTGCCGATTTATGGTAGTATAATTGAGATCAGAATTGTGCACTAGAAGTCTGTGCAAACTGTGAACAAACCTGACTGGTACATACAGATGGGGGCTTTAGAAAGTTTGGAGGAGATTTAATATGGTTTGAAAGATAGAAAGGATATTGAGAGGATTTGTTCTTTGGTCCTGGAGACAAGGTGCCTGCCTGAGGACTGGCAGTCCCCAATGACTTCAGCAGTTCTGTGTGCTCAGCACCTCTGAATATCAGATGGACCTTGATTAATTCAGATATTGTCCGTGCCAAACATAATGCAATTTTGTTTGTAGTGGACTGAGTTTTTATTTTATAGTCATGGTCTACGTTCATTCCTTATCCCAAATACTTTTTATTTGCAATACTTTGACTCTTCCTTTATCTGAATTTGGATAATGATGGTGGGGGGTAGGAATTGGGAGAGGAACTTGGATTTATATCCCATGACAGTCATAATTTACATTAAAATAACAACCCTCTTATTTGAACCTATATAAATGTATAATCCCGTCCCATTCAGACAAATGTAAGGCCTACTGTAATAACTATGTTTCAGAAAGAAATATAAAGTGTAACAGTATAAGGTTGAAAGTAAAGTCATTAACTTTGCTTTTTCCTTAGCCTTAGTAGCATCTAACTTTAGGCCCAATCCTGCTTGTTGTACTCACTCAAGTAATCCCATTAAAATCGATAGCACTACTTTCATGAATAAGGTGAGCAAGCTTTAGTCTTTTAATTTCTGTTTTCAACAGGGAATTAAGATCATGCCTTTGTACCATTTCAGCTACTCTCCAATGCAGTCTCTCCCCTACCTATCCCCCTCCCCCCTTTTTTGCACACAATAAAATAAGAGGCTTGGTGTACTTTATTAATCAAGTATGCTTTCCTTCAAATTAAACTGTGAGATAAACTCACTATTTTAATATTTCAAGGAGGCTGAGAATAGGTACTAGATTTTCAGCCATTATTCTTATCATAGTTTCTAACCAGTGAACGCAGAGGCAGTTAATCACTCACATGACTCTTAGATCAGGCTGGTCCTAACATCACAAAGACCTTACTTTTATTACATCAGATTATTCTAGTCATTGTTAAATATTTACTAAAGGCAGCAAGTCTGAATGGCAAAAACGCTGTGTGGGTCTAATAGTGCAGGGAAACACTGTAATAATGGGAAGTGGTTGTGCATTAATACAATATTTGCATTTTACCAGAGCATTGCAAATAGATCCCATATGATTGAGCCAAAACCCCTCATATTTTTAGATAGCCTGGAAGGAAAGTTGTAGCTCAGGCTAACACAGAGAAACCGGAGACAGCCAGCATCACCCTGCGACTAGGACGCATGGCAAAATGGAAGTAACAATAGGTTATAATAGACGAAGGGACTTCGCCACTCCCTTTTACAATCTTCCAGTGGAATGAATGGAATATAAATACCAGCCAATGGGAGGCCAGCTCCTGCTGTATATAAAACTGGTGAGGCTGTGGGGGTGAGACTCCACTTCATATAGGTCGCTCTCTGACAGCTTTGGGGTGTAAGAGCAAGAACAAGGGCGGTTTCTGTGGTGCCCGGTAAGTGCTGGGGGACCTGACTGGCAACACTAAAATTGGAGGATGATCTATTTAGCCTGTTTTAGACAGTTTGATTTAAAACCACTATTTCGAGGCAAAAAAAAAAAAAACCACCCAAAATTGTAACCCGAAGGGTCTATATTGTATTGCAGCTAAATGTATTGTGTGTTAGTGCTAGCTACCAAAGGGTCCAGAATGTGTCTTCGGACCCTGAAAAAGGGAGGGGAGGCGTTGCGGGGGGGCTTATAGATAAAGGGAGAGATGGAAACAGATTATAATATGGACGCCCAGAATGCAACCAAGGAAAAACCAATTAAATTCTAACTCGATGCAGGCACTAGAGGGTTTGTTAAACTGGATCGGCTCTAACTTTAAAGCCAGGTTAAGTCGCTATTTAGCAGGGTATTTACATAGATCTTCACCCCCCACTCGGATGACCTGTAGGGAGGCGTTTGTTGCATAATGGCTTGGTGTAGGGGATTGTTTAACCCTGTCCCCAAAGTGGGTGGGCAGTGCTATTGGGATGGGCGAGCTCTCCCCAGCGGGGCTCCCGCAGGGATGGGAGGGTGTCGGGCTCTCCAGAGCTTGTGCTGGGTATTTGGGATCTTTGTCTCCCCCCAGGCTTGGGGAAGCCGGAGGAATTTCTCTTCCCCAGTCCTCACCCTCTCCCCTCCGGCGCTGGCTGATCTGCTGCAGCCGGACGCTCCCTACGGGATTTGGTTGCGGTTGCAGCTGAGTCCCGGCTCCGCGCGGTGGTTCCGAGCTGCGCACAGCGAGCCGGGGGGCTGCATTCCCCACTCTTCTTCTCCCCCGCCCGGTGGGGCGAGGTTGCATCGTCCTTCTGGCCCCGGCGGCTGAGCCTGGAGGGAGGGGCTGCATTGCCTTCCCTCTCCTGGCGGGGGGCGCTTGCATTGCATTGCACCCCTCCCTGCAGGTGCTGGGTCCTGGGGAACGGTTGCCGCGCTTGTCCCACTGCCTCTCAGGCGCGGGCAGGTGCCGCATCACCCTCCTGAGCCGCCTCCCGCCCCGCTTGCCTGGGCCCGGAGGGAGATAACCCGGCCGGGTCGGGAGCGCCGCTGCTCTCCTGGCTGGAAAACCGGGCGCCTGTGCTGCAGCCCCGAGCTCGCGGCTGCGCCCCCTGCCGAGGGCGTGGGTGGCCCGGTGCATTGATCTCGGAGAGCGGCTGCTGGGTGGCCGCTGCCGAGCCCGCAACCTCTGCTGGGGGGCAGGTGTGGGAGCAGCTGGGCCGCGCGGCTCTGCAGCTAACGCGGGTTCCCCCTCCCCGGAAGGGGCCCCGCTCCGGCAGGGCCGGGAAAGAGCTCTCCGCAGGGGGGCTGGCCACTGCCTGAAGCCCCGGATCAGGGAGACCTGGCACTTTTCCCACCGACTTGCTGCAAGTCCCCCCCACCCCGGCTCTGCACCCTCCCCGTGTGTAGAAGGGGGTAGCCCGGCCCCCAGGGTGCCCTTGTTAGGAGGTTGTGGAAGGCGCCTTAGAGACTAGGCGGTTACTGGGCCGCAGGCAGGTGGAGTACATGCCAAGGTGACCTTGCTGCATGCCATGGCGTCCTTCCAGAGCCTGCCTGGAAGGGCGTGCCAAGCACTGAAGGTGAGGTTTCCCCTTTCTTCTCCCCTAGCACCTTGCAGTCAGGCATCAGTCATGCCCTTCTCAAACAGCCACAACCTCCTGAAGAAGAAGTACTCTGCTGCGGATGAGTTCCCAGACCTGAGTGTTCACAACAATTACATGGCCAAGGTGCTGGACCTGGACCTGTACAAGAAGTTGAGGGACAAACAGACTCCCAGTGGATTTACCCTGGATGATGTCATCCAAACTGGGGTTGACAACCCAGGTAAAGGACAGAGCCTCTTGATCCACAACCATCTGTTCTCCCTCATTACAGGAAGTGCGTCTTGATAGCAGCACCAAGGTTCCTAGAGCTGTCAAAATCTCTCAAGCAGTGAGTCCTGGCCCAAAAGCACTGCCCACTAAGAGTTAAAGGTGGCCTTATCCCATTGGGCAATGCAGAGAACACTATAAATGCATGCCCTGTTCTGACAGACCAAACACTCAAATTATGTAACTGCTCTGCTAAATGCTTTGATCTGAAACAAAATCTGACTAAAAGTGTAACTTATCTACAAACACCATGACTAAAAATTTGACATTCTGAGGGCTTACTTGGCTGCTTTGATCTCTCCTATTCCAAACTGGCTATATGAAGTTCTGTGGCACTTCTTTGAAAAAAAGGGGGAGCAGATTTATTAATGTGTTAACATTCCAGTATTTATTTTTACTCTAGCAATATCAAAATGGCCCAACTAAATAATCAGAGACTGCCTCCTGATGAGGAGTACCCGGACCTGAGCGCCCACAACAACCACATGGCCAAGGTGCTAACCCTGGACTTGTACAAGAAACTGAGAGACAGAGTTACACCCAGTGGCTTCACCCTGGATGATGTCATTCAGACTGGGGTTGATAATCCTGGTAAAATGCATTGAGAATATTCTATGTGAACCAGCTGAAATAAGAGATGCATATGGTGACTAAGTTTGTGGAGGTGACTCTTGTGAGCAAACTGCAACAATGCAACTCAATCAGTAGCAGTCTGAACCAAAAATCAAGTTGTCCATGAAGTCCAAGCCCGGCGTATTCTAATGGCTGCAATATCTGAGCTGCCTGAGCATAAAATATCTGATTAAACTATAGCTAGTAAAATTGACTATGAACAAAAATCTTGCCCTGAACTAGATTCACTTGTCCAAACATGGCTTATTGGCAACAGTTATGGGTTTTCAGTAACTTTACATTTCATTAGCTGGATGAAATGTAAAGTGTCTAAGATTTGTCTTCAACTGGTTCTTGTCTTTTGTGTGTGTGTGTGTAGGAATGTGACTAGACCTACCATTATAAGGACAAACTTATCTGGCTAATGCTGTTCTGGGACACAGTTAAACATCACCCAAATCTGGCTCTTGCAATTCTATTACCACTCCAGGCCATCCCTTCATTATGACAGTAGGATGCGTAGCTGGTGATGAAGAATCCTATGACGTGTTTAAGGCACTCTTTGACCCAATTATCAAGGACCGACATGGAGGCTACAAACCAAGTGACCAGCACAAGACTGACTTGAATCCTGATAACCTACAGGTATAGAGTCTTTCATCAGCAGTGGTCAGACATCTGACAAAAGTATAAAAAAGCCTGGGCAAAACTAGTGCAGTTGCTTGTCCCTGTCAGTCAGAATCTGTTCCTGTGACTTGAGTGACCACCTGTTGAATCTGTTGTATTCCTAGCTATTGCTCTCTGGAGTCTGTCTCAGTAAGGACTCTTCTCCACAGGCTGGGTGGAACCACTTTCAAATGACTACAGTACTCCTGTCCTATCTGACCTGAGATACTGCTGTGACTTAAGGCTTGCCTGCACTACCGCACGGGGTCGATCTAAGATACGCAACTTCAGCTACGTGAATAGTGTAGCTGAAGTTGACGTACAGCAGACCCTCACTAGAACGCGTATCTTTATAGCGTGAATTCGGTTATAGTGCGGGACCGCGCATGGATCCCAACTTTAATTACCTTCATTGGAATCCATGGTAACGTGGGATTGCGCATGGATCCAAAACCCCACGTTCTAGCGGGGGTCCGGTGTACTTAGATTTACTTACCACAGTGTCTTCACTGCAGTAAATCTACAGCTGATGCTCTCCCATTGACTCTGCTTGTGCTTCTGTCAACTCCAGTACTCCACCAGAACGAGAAGAGCTCTCAGCAGTCGATTTATCATGTCTATACTAGATGTGATAAATTCTCTCTCTCTCTCTCTCACACACACACACACACACACACAGATTGATCTCTGCCTGCTGATCCGGTGGGTAGGGTAGACCAGCCCTTAGCCCACTCTGCTCTAGTGGAACAGTTACTCCTGTCTCAGCTGTGTGGGCTTCAACATCCACATTTGTACTCAACTTCTGGGGCAGCCCTGTCTCACCCTGGAGGATCCTTAAGGATGACTCTAGGCTGGGTCCTGGTACACAAGTGGATCTTACAAACCACTTGAGCTGTTGCAGTCACTACTATGTCACATCCATTCCCAAGTTTGAGTTCAGGATCTCTCCCTGCCTTTCCAATTGTTTATTCTAGAAATATTAAACTACTGGGAATCCCTAACAACATGTGTGAACTATTTATAGCTGAAGTAGATTTTTAAAGTTGAATGGGAAGACTCTTAACTGTAGCAACCTGAGTTCATAACTCTGTTTGCCACCTACAAGACAAGGTGTCTTGACAAGCATCTAAACACAACAAGGGGCTACATTATTTAGAGCCCACTTCTGCAGGGGAAATAAAACTCTAAACTTGGGCATAGGCAAACACAGATCTAAAATTCTGTTAATGAGTTGATCTTTTCCAACTGTTAGTAGAGGAAAGCAGCTCTAATGTATTAAGAGCACTGACATGAGGATTGTATGCATGCAGTACACTAGTTTATCCACTTAAAAATATGAGATCGTAACATGGTGGCTTTATTGCATTAATGCTAAATCCTACTCAAATATTGAAGGCTTTGGGGTCAAATCATGCTCTGAAACTAATAGGGGCTGTACATAATTCAGGGCAGAATTTGGTGACATGGTTGCACTTCTCAATCTCTTATAGGGTGGTGATGACCTGGACCCCAACTACGTGCTAAGCTCCCGTGTCAGAACTGGTAGGAGCATCCGTGGATTCTGCCTTCCCCCTCATTGTAGCAGAGGAGAGAGACGAGCTATTGAGAAGCTTTCTGTTGAAGGTAAAATGAAAGTTCTGATATTATGGACTGACTTTCAATGTTTGTTAAACTGAGGCTGACAATTGAGGAGGCGGAATATTTTTGCCTACCTCCTCAACTGCAAAAATCTCTCAAATATTAGGGCACCAAATGCAGAACTAGGAATCTGTCAAATTACCACATATGTAACTGGATGACTATCCTAAAACTAGAGCTGCTTTCTCAACTGGAAGTGAATTGGAAGCAAGTAGAGGGCAATTGGATTGTATTAAGTAATGAGATTGTGACCTTGAAGGCTTTGCTGTTTGTGTGGGATAGCAAGTGAGCATGCACTCACCTAGAGCAGGTGTTAGACTTTTCAAATTCAGTGATGTATTGTAACACATGCTCTTAACTGCAGCTCTTGCCACCTAGCTTTCCACTAAGATGACACCGTGGGAGTGGGCTGTGGGTTTCAGTGGGATGTATTTTAGGAGACTGTCTTGTACAGTGGCAATGCTGTCCTCTGTGCTGAGACCACTCTGCTCAGGACTCCTCAATACAGAAAGTAATGTTACTCTAACCTCTAAATGACTGAAGTGGTCTTGCTTATTCATGTACTATTAAAATAGCTTATTCCACTTCTGGCTAGCAATATAGTCCTATTAAATCTAGTTTCATAGCTCATCAGAAAACAAATGCCCTTTAAAGAAATAAAGGCTACAGTAACTCCCAACAATGTACAGCAGCCTGATTGATCGTTCAAAGCTGAAAGAACCAAACACTGCATGGTCCCTTACAGTAAGGGGAGGAAGGAAACAAATCTGATCAGTTCAGAAATGCCACTATGCTTGTGTATCTAGCTGCTCAATTGCTGGGAACCAGGGCTGGCTCCAGGCACCAGCTTGGCAAGCAGGTGCCTGGGGCGGCCACTTCGGAGAGGGGTGGCACGTCCAGCTGTTCGGCGGCAATTCGGCGGACGGTCCCTCACTCCTGCTCGGAGCGAAGGACCTCCCGCTGAATTGCCGCCACAGATCGCGATCGCGGCTTTTTTTTTGTTTGTTTGTTTGGCTGCTTGGGGCGGCCAAAACCCTGGAGCCGGCCCTGCTGGGAACGTATCAAAATACCAGCTAGCATCCTGTTTGTGTACTAAATGTGAATTTTGCTTTCAGCCCTGGCTAGCCTGGAAGGTGACCTTAATGGAAAGTACTATGCTTTGAAAAACATGACTGATGCAGAGCAGCAGCAGCTGATTGATGATCACTTCCTATTTGATAAACCAGTTTCTCCTCTCTTGTTGGCTTCTGGAATGGCACGAGATTGGCCTGATGGCAGAGGTATTTGGTGAGTATATGCAATGGAAACCAGAATCCTTTAAACACCTCTGCAGTGGGTACCACGCAGAAATCTGTGGTCCTGAATGATCTAGCTGAATGAAACAGCAGCTTCTGTACACTAGTATTCACTTGGCAGAAACTTGCATACTGTCTTTGCTTTTGCTCTCACTTAAATTTGAGCTTTAATATCTGCTTCAGTGGGCCACAAGATCAAGCCCATAAAGCTAAAATTTAAAAAGCCCTCAAACTTTAAGTTTACCCTCATTGGCATGTCTGTGGCTCTCTGCCTCTTTACTGGGGATATAAGAATTGCAGAAATAATTCATTTAAGGGAAGCAGGGAGGCAGCTTAAAATCAGTTAATGGTGAACTAGTGGCATTGTCACTATGATGAGTAACTCAACCTAGCCTTTTGGGATTTAAAAACAAACAAACTGCAGTAAAAATGGCTTCACTGAAAACACATTGCAGGAAAAGCAATGCCTTCTGCAGCAATGTCAACCAAGCAAACCTAAAAGGGAACTAGTGCCTGTGTCTTTTTGCTTATGGTAAGGAGAAGACCTGGCCTCTTATGTGGCTCTCTTGCACTGGAAACATCAGGCCTTCCCTTTTCTGTCTAGAAAGCTACGCTTTTCTGTCTAGACAGCTAGCAGTATGTCTTGACACAGGAACAAGTAAAGGGAAGGAGTTAACTTGTCAGACCTCTAACACCCAACCAACTAGTGGAAGAAAAAATGTTCTTGTTCTCCTCTACACTGAAGGTTAAACTCCTGTGAATGTTCCCAGGTCAACAAGAGTCACTAAAAGCTGCTTCCTAGACTCAGTAGAATCCCTCCAGTCTCTCATGCAACAGTGGGATCTTGAACATGTTTGGTTTTGTAGGTCACCTTTCCAAGATAACTCATCACCTGCCTGCAAGAGATACCAACACTAGATAGCTTTGTCGACTGAGCCATGACTCTCAAACCCTTAGTCTCCGATTAAATGGAAGCTTTTAACATTCTATGTAACCTTCATCTTGACAGCTAACTAATTCAATACCCAGCTTGATTGCTGTCGTGGACTAGCTTATCAGTATTGGGTTAAGAATTTTTTTTTATCTGGCAGCAGCAACTAAAATCCAAAGGCAAGGGCAGATGGACCCATAGGTCATCAGGCTTGCAGCATTCTTCCTTCTAAACTGCAGCTTAAAATAAATATCCAAAGTTTTGTTTCTTGAATCTACCCATATGCTGAGTCATTGCTGCATGTAAGGTAACTTAATTGACCTTGACAAGACAGTTAGGTTGCACATCATGTTTCCTTGCATACCATTGATGGTGTGAGATAGTCAAGATGCAGAGTGCTGCCATCTCAGGAATATATGCTAATGTATTTCACCCCTTACACTTCCCAAAAGTGACACTCCATGGAACAAAGGGACTGAATCTTTCTGTCCCTGGGGACTTGAAAAATAATTTAAGACTTGACATGGCATCAAGGTTGAGCAGTAAGATCATAGGAATGGGTACATGCCTAAGCAGGGTGAAGGAGGAGTCAAATAACAATTATTCAGATTTTAAGGGCAGAAAAAGCTGAATTGCTTTGATGATTCAGGAAGGTCTATATACGGAGCTGATTTGACCCTTTAAACCTACAAGAGCAGATACAGTAGATTCAGTTTTAACTCTGAAACTGTCATGTAAGAGTAAATGACGCTGAGACTTTAGTGTCAATCTTCAGTACAACATGAGCTCTTCAGATAAGAGTTGGACTGATTTAGACTTAACCCATTGTACATTTAATCCCTTGGATTGCCACCTGGAAAACTCCACTCCAAATGGAGAAATTAGTTGTTTGGCTTTTGTCTTCTAGGCACAATGACAACAAGACCTTCCTTGTCTGGATCAATGAGGAAGATCACCTTAGAGTTATTTCCATGCAGAAAGGTGGCAACATGAAGGAAGTGTTCACCCGCTTCTGTACTGGGCTAACACAGGTGAAGTTAACATTTGTAACAAGAAGCCTAAAGAGAATTGCTCTTGCCTTAAATGGTGCAGGACTTGATGCACTGCTCAGAGTGCTTACTTAAAACAGGCTCTAAAAATATACTGCCATGTTCTGCTACTGTGTGGCATGGAATCTCAGTGCTAGCACAAATCCTGTATTGTGCTTGTGTAAACATCTGACAATGTAGCTTAGGCATCTGGTAGCATCTTAGTGTATCTTTCCACAAGTAAATTCCAGGGGTGTATGGGCTCAAACACTTACTCTAAGTTATTGTTATGAAGTCTAGAGGAAGGTCCTCTAACATCCTGACTGGCTTCCTCCTCTTAAGTGGGGTTTAATACATAATATGAACTACCACTGCCTACAGACAAATAATGGAACATGTCTTGAGACTCAGTAAATGTGTAGTGGTGCTACACTACATAAAGTACCTTTGCTAAAACACTAGTGTGTGGGGGAAGTAAAACCAGCACTTCCTCCCCATGTCCACCAATGCAAAGAGGAACAAACGCCACTAAATCAAGCCTGACAACACATCACTAAATATCCGCTCTCTTCCCACAAGTCTGTATCAACAGATGG